TGTAATGTGCTAACATGTGTTGGCATCTGCTTCTAAAGGGTCAATGACTGCTCCAAACCAATGTTTTGCCTGCTACAGAAACTGCTACAAAAGGTCAAATACCGCTTTCATCACTGCGAGTACGACCAAGTTGCGGTGTGCTTCGCTGGGACGTGGAAGATTGCTGCTACAGAAAGAAAAAAAAAAAAAGGAAATGATGGCGACGATGATGCCAGTAACGTGATTGCTACGTCAAACTGCGCCAACATGTTTATCTGACTACATCTTACATTTCGCCGAAATGTGAGGAATTGGTGACAAAACTGCATATCCTTAAACGGAAACTAACGGTTCGGAAGTCGCTACACTCGCGGATCCTAATGTAACACTTGTGCGAATTTTCACAACTTTAAATCATCACGTCGACTCAGCTATTATTATATTTAATCTTTGCATCCAACACTTGCAGTATCCGGACGTTTTGCAAGGTTTCCTTTCTTGCCGTGCAATGGTAGACTCAGGGGCGGATGCAGGAATTTCCTGAAAGGGGGGTCAGGTGTTGGTCAGCGTACCATATGTTTAGGAACCCCCTCCCACTCTCCCTCGTTTTACGCCCTAAATTTTACACATGCAGAAAACAAGAGGGGGGTCAGGACATCCGGACCCCCCCTCTAAATCCGCCCCTAGTCACCGTAGACTACGAAGAACCGACTCCTGCGAAGTTGTCGTCTCGATTTTGTGAATCCTGCTTCGCCGCAGTGCAGTCGCGTGCTAGGGGAAAAGGCACCTGTTCAGAGCGGGGCGGCGCATGCGATGGTTACCGTACTCTTTGGATACTACGCGGACTATACATAATTAGACGCTTACATTACACGCTGTGCGAAATGTCTAGAGGTACGGAATATATACAAGGAATCGTATCTCAAAATCGTTCATTATTAGTGCGGTTGTCGCGACCCTGTGATTGCTCGAAACTAATCTTACTAAAGACGTCATAGTGACCACAATCGCCGTCATACGAAGACGATTTTGGCTCGAAGCGGCGTGCTGCCGTGACAACGTGCCCGTTAAAGGCCGACGTGCACTTCGCGCTTTCCACTTTTCTCCCGATTCCTCCTCTCCCCTTTCTACCCTGCCCATGTCTGTTTTTTGACTGTTTCTTTCCTCCTCCCCATGGTGAAGAGGATCTTCTGCCTTGCAGAATCTCCAGTCTGGTAGTCGACCTTTAAGAGAAGTACCGTCGAATGAGCAATCGAAGGATCTTCGATGCTTGTGCACAAGCCAACAAGCGGTGAAACTCGCAACCGATTTTTTGAGGCATGAAAGGAAAGCGACATAAATAAATGTCACAGACAGGACAAAACATCTTTTGTTTGTGTCGCCTTCCTTTCATCCTTGTAACTTACCAGCGCGCTCCAATTTGTGGAGCGATTAACTCACGCACGGGGCGTGCGATTTTTCTAGCTTTCTCGCAGCTGGGACTTCGCAAGTAAAATTGCACCATGTGAATCGGGCATTATTACTCTGTTTTCCTGCGTCGAGTGCGAGGGTTTTAAAGCATGTAGATTATAAAGAAACGCTACCTTATTCTTGGCATAAGATATTCGCAATACGGTTCACACCAAATTTCAACACTTCTGTGACTCCTAAGACTACGAAAGCAATTTTAGAAGTGTTGGCAACTCGCACCTGTTGGTCGTGCAAACAACCGCGTTAGAACTAACGTTTTTTTTTTTTCTGTTTTTTTTTTTTTGTTGTTCGAATCCTAACGACACACTTCTGAGAGGACTGAATGAAATGCGTGGGGAAGGCCGTAATCAACCTGCATGCGGCTCGCTCAAGCCAGTCACTCTCTCATCGCATTTCTACTACTGTCCTCTTATAAATTCCTTGCTACATCAGACAATATAGTCTATGGCAGAGCTATAGTTTCTGGTGTTCTAACGTCATTTTCGCTTAGGCTGTCACATGTCCATTGGTCTCCATTCTTTCCTTTTTTTTTCCATTCTTTCCTTTCTTTTATATATTATGTTTGGAGCGGAGCTGTTAGGCGCCCGTTTCCGGCTTGAGCGGCGTCGGCGTAACCTCGCGCTGCGTTATGGGAAACGTCCCATAATGCAACGCTCGGGGAGGAGGGGAGGGAGGAGTAAAAGGGAAGATGGGAGGAGGTGATGAGGTGAGAGGAGTACAGGAAAAGGAAGAGGAGGAGGGGTGATGCTAGCTACCCGTTGTGCAGGCAAGTGATATCACCATTCATAAATCACAGAGAGGCACGTATGAAAACGTGGCGTACTCGTTTTCCAAGTGGGCATCTACATGGGTCTGTGCTGTACCCATCAGTCTCTGTGGCACGTCAGACGAAGTTGGTAAATTGTGTGCCGCCAAGGTCTACAACGGCTTGCTCGTGGTAGCTCTGTATCTCTCGCCTACGGCACTCACCGTATATTTCGTGCAAGACAGAAGAACTTCTTACCAGTCATGCAGGAAAACATCCCATTGGCCCCGAGGGACATGCGCTCGCTGTTCTGCTGTGCCAACTCGGGGGAGCAAGCTCAAGACCAATGCTAAGGAAATCAAAAACGTCGAGCAGTCTTCGACAGAGCCGACAGCAAGTAGGATGACATCGAGAGTATCACGTGCTTCGTCAAAGTGTTAACGCTGTCTCGTTCTCCCGCCTTGATCCTGCTGTCCTGTTTCCTGGCACCGGAAGAACTTAGACAGAGTGGAGCTTCCAGATGTGAGAACTACATTTCCTTTCTCCGGACAAGGGGTGAGCGGGAATACCAGAATATATATATACAGATTGTTTAGCACGGTATATCGCAAGATCGAGATACCTCAAGAGAAAAGCAGGAGAGGAGGAGGAGCAGAGGACGAGGGGAGAAGGGGAAGAGGAGAGAATACGGATGAGGAGGAGGGGCATGCCCTCCCCTTTTCCGCCTCAAGAGCTGCGCTCTAATTTGGCGTAACAGCAAGTTGTAAACGGTTTTTCATTTTTTTTATTAATGGATGCCGCGGATGAGTACTTTCTGGCGAAGTCCAGTTTCCACACCACTACAGCAACATGCCTTTTACACTATCAAGATTTCACTTTTTTTGGTGGAACATAATGTCGGTTTGAGCATGCGCTATGAATAGAGTTCCGTGTTTTCGGATAAATCAGAAAAACTCCGAAAAATACCCGCCGGTGAAATTTTGGTCAATTCGGATTTATCCGATAAACTCCGAATGTTGATGTGCCAGCGCCCCCCCCCCCCCCCTAAAAATAACAAAACTAAATAAAGACGGTATGGTATAATTAAGTTTGATCAGTGCACAAGGTCAGTGGTCCTAGGAAAATGTCCACCACAGTTCTCTTTCAAATCTCGAATCATTGACAAAAGGGGTCTTAATGTTTATCTCGTCAAAATTCAGGACGACACGTCATTGTACTTTGGGGTCATGATAAAAGCCTCTCGATTGGTTTCCAGTTTGGGGCATACTGTTTGCGTTTTGATAGGAAGGATAGGTTGTGCTTTTATAACAGTTAAAGCTATGGACCATAGAGATTGCATAAAATTGGGAGGAGGGGCTGTTGAAACTTCCCTATTACATCGTTTACCACTCCACCTCGCGCGGCGGGGGTAGCATGGAATAGGATGAGGTGAATACGTGCTTCCCAGCAACTACCCCCAGAAGTTTTTTGTTTTTTTTAAGGTATTGACGTTTATCGAAGCCACACATATGTGCAACTTTTGCCGTGGTACAACGTAGTATTGCCATGGCAATGGCACCAACACCAAACACAGCTGAAGAAATATTAATTGGTATAAGCTTTTTTTTATCTAGCACGCATTTATACTCGGATGATTTATTTTTCATGGGAAACACTGCGATATTAAACTCTGAATTTTGGAGATTATGGAATCGAACAAAACATAGCTCCTATAAACTCCCAACTTTCGGAAACAAATGAACTCTGAAAAACACCCTGCGAATTTGACGAAAAATAAACTCCGAAAACACGGAATCCTAGTTATGAACCACGTGTTTAAAAATGGCGTTCAGGGAATGGTAGACCACAGTGACCAGGCACCTCATTACCTTGTCTTGGTTCCTTTGCCTGAGCCGAGATCTTCATTTCACTCAAACGCACACCTCACATTTGGGGGGAAAAAACAACCTAGAACTGAAAATCTGAGAGTAATAATAGCGTAGATTACATTTAATGTTTGTTTTTGGTGCTGGAAAAAAAAAAAAGCCTGTATTTTTTCGTAGCTTGACATGCGCTCAGAAGATGAATTAAATTCGACCTGTTTGCGTTCTAAGCTGGCAAATGCGTTCGGAATCTTTTTTTGAGAGGGAGGGGGGGACCAAATTTGGTTTCCTTTTTCTTTTTTTTTTTTCTGCATATCTTGAGCAGTGGATAGGGTGAATGGACACGACTGAATCTTTTTTATCGGGCGGCGGCTTGCCCACGGAAACAAAGCTTATTATCCCGACAATGAACTAACATTTGAATAAATTCCAGATGATTAAAGAATGGTAAAAAAATACCATATTGCTGCTAAGCAGAACCCTTCATTTAACATTTTCCGCAACCGAAAGCTACAATCCGCACGATGGTGGTGCCTCCTCGCCCTACGGATTGGGAGGAAGAGAATAACATACTTCCCTCTACTTACGCCACAGTCCGGTAACCTATGCTTGGGTGACCTCCGCTTTCCCTTCGTTGAAAAGGGTTGATAACTGGGCTAGTTGGTAGTTACACATATTAACGGCATTAGCGCACACGTATGAGGAAGAGAGAAGGGACTCTTTTCTGTCCCTTCTCTCTTCCTCATACGTGTGCGCTAATGCCGTTAATATGTCCCTTCGTTGATTTTTCCGTCGCTGGCTTTATGAAGACCTATGCTTTTACTAAATCGGTGTCGCCTTGGGAAACTGCGGGGCGAAGCCTTCACAATAAAGTACACACATCTTCACCTGTTGACGATCCTCCGCCCCTCTTGGAGGACGCAATAAGACAAAGCACACGGCAGTGGAACTTGATTTTTTGTTTTATCTTTTTATAGGAAATGTACAAAGAGGAAAAAACACGCTTTCTTTCTCTCTCTCTCGCTCTCTCTTTCTTTTAGGGTAAATCGTACTTATAAATTATAGGAAACACCGAAAACTAAAAAGTCAAGAAGCGACGACAAAAAAAAAGAAAAAAAAATGCAGGAGACTTCTTGGACCGCTTAAACGAGAGAAACTTAAAAAAAAAAAAAAAAAAAAAAAAAAAACTAAACAAAGCGTAAAGCATCATTAACGTGAGACACGAAGACGGGTCTCTTGAGGACATATGCCATACGTATAAACGCTCGTTTCTTCTCTGCGACTAAGTGATCGGAGACTTTCTCCGCTTTATATATATAATGTATATATATGTATATATATACGTAGACGGTGTGTCATATAATAAAGAGCGTCGGAGCAGCGCGAGTCCTCGCCAGCCAGCGGTTAGGATAGGAATCTTCTCGATGACTTCTTGTACCACCATGTCTCGTCCTCTTCACCTTTCGTCCACTTCGGTAAGTTTTCTTTCGGTTCTTGGGTCCCTTGTCGTCGGTGCTTGTGGGATCGTCCATTGAGTCCGTTGGTTTTTGAATCTCTTCGGATGTTTCCTCTCTTTCCCCGTACCTTTCAGAGGTTGTTAGGCGAATGGGTAGACTTGCCGGAGAAGGCAGGCAGGAAGAGGACATCGTGCATCGACGTCCAGAAGAAGGCCGAAAGGCGTGGGGGACAACAGCAGTGGGGCGCCTCGGCGGCTTAGCTGGGGGGGGAGGGGACCACGGGCTGACCGGGCGGTGGAGGACGCTCGCGGGTGCCGCTACGAGCTCGTGTCGAGGACTCCGGCGTCTTCAGCGGGCGCGCTGTCCCCACCGGCGGGCGCCGGGGCGGCGACCGCCTCTGCGGCGTCGGCGGCCGCCGAGTCGGTCTTGGCCTCGACGTCGGTCTTGGCGTCGGCGCCCTGGTCGCAGCAGCCCTCGGGCTTCTCGTCTGTACACAGAAAAAGAAATGCACGGGTCGGGTCATTGAACGTATTATTGATAAGTGCTCATACATACAGAGCGTGCTCCACAGCTCTAGTTCTATAAGCTATATTTTAGTTTCCATAGACTGCTTGAGCCAAACCCGCTTCCCCCTAAATAGAAAAAACCCTCGGAGAAGAAAAAAAAAAAAAAAAAAAAAAGTGCGCAGTCGTTGCGAAAGCAGACAACGGGGATGCCGAGGCAGACGCCACCCAACCGCTTAAAACGCATCAACGTACGCCCAGTCACGAGAAAGCGTGACACCGCGTTCACGAATATCCACAAACCAAAAGATAAATAAAGAGGGCGGACGCACCACCTCCAAACCAACCAAACTTAGAATGGAGGGAGAGAATGTCACGGAAGCTAGAGCAACTCCGCGCGTGACAAAGCCCGGTTCGAGCGGCGGCCCGACAGTGTCCGCGCACTCCCAGGCGGGAACACACACACAACACTTGCCGAAATAACGAACAAGCAGTAAGGGGGTGGACCAGCGTCAACAGAAAGTAACAGCGTGAATGGCAGAAGCTGTGCCGTCGACTGCGCGCTCTCCCACGCTGATCGCACGCAGTGGCGGCGGCTCGGCTTGGCTAGAGAAACAAAACAAAAACAACATCGGACGCGAGGGCTGCCAGCTAGAGAGCGCACAATTGGCCGGTCGACGAACCCTGGGGACCGGTCGCGGAACATTGTGGAACGCACGACGTCACCGGGTCCCCGTCTGCTTCGCCGCCGCGGCTGGCCATCAAGAACAAAGAGGAGGGGAGAGGAAAAAAGATGGCGCAAAGGACGATTAGCCACCGCGTCGTGGTGGACGGTTGGGTTGTCTGGCACAGGACGCCGTCGTCCCCCGAGTTTGGTCGTGCGTGCTTTGGTCGGTATACTCGGTACCGACTCGTGGAAGGGGGGAAAAGAAAAATAGAAGGGTATCTATAGATGCGTCAAAACGGTTTATTTTTTGTGGGGTTCGACAAAGAGAGGAAAGGGGCAAATGATCGAGTGCAGCTTTGCAACACACTTTTTCACACCTACATGATTGACTTGGACCTTCTCTCTTCTGTCTTCTAGTCGCCCAAGACGGATGTTAGGGTCGAATGATTCTTTCGAAAATTCGTCCGGAATATATGCATATATACTATATATATTCATTTCTTTTTTTTTTTAAGAAACTTAGTTTGGCTCCTCTCCCAGTTCTTCCCTCCTCTGCCTCTTCTTCATTTCAATGTCCCTTTCTACTCTTTTTCCCCTCTCATTTCTCACGCCTCCCATGAAAGTGATTTCCCTTGACCGAACGCGCCATGAAAGCGTTGACCTTTCTTCGACCATTTTCTTGCTTCTCTCCGGGAATTTTCGGGCTGTCGCTCCCCCTTCCCAACTTTCGCAGGAGGCGATTGGAAAGAAACGCTAGGCCTATCTTGGGAGCCACGCTTGTCTGCGGTGAAAAGAGTAACAGCGCGCTCCGCATATCGACGCTCGACAGCCCCTGAATGAGGCAGCATTTCCGGCGATAGCTTCTCGTTACTAGGCTCCGTTCTTACCCTAACTTGGGAAACGGCCTCCGTGAGCCAACCAGCGTGTCAGAGCGAGGCACGTGACGACATATATCGTCGAAGTACTCTCCTGCGGAGAGCTGCGTCACGTGCTCGGCTCCGTAACTCTGGTCGGTTCGAATGGATCGTAGAAGCGAAGTATATAGTAAATGCAGACCTGAGCATTCACGTTCCTCGAAACAGTATGCGTGACACTGAGCGAGGCTTCTTTCACGACCCTTATATAGTAAATAGCCTTTGCCAAGACCTGCGCTCTCTGTGGAAATCCTACACAAGTGGGAGACGCAGCAGACACGGTCAAATCTTGCAAAGCAACCGAAGCTGTGTTGAGAGTTCCTGTTGCACGAGAGTTCGTGTAGCCGAGGTCAAGACCTAATGCTATATGTGTTAGCGCTAGAGTTCAGGTGACATTCACTGGCGACCATAGCTAAGCTCGTTTTAGCTGAGCCTGTGCGGAGACGGCAAGCTTCGCTTCCACAACCCCTCTGCAACAAGCACTCCAATGCATCAGACGAGATCGATGTGTTCTTGGTGTTACAATATGTTATAGCTTCGTTTTGACTGGTTGCGGAGCGCTATCATCATCATCATCAGACAATAAAACATGGCGTCTCAGTGAGCATGCAGCCTCGTGGGTCTCCTATAAAAAGACACACAAAACACCTGGCAGATACAATAATTGAGTTTTTTTTATGAGTATGCGCAGCAGTTTTTGCTTACGGCAACGAGATGTAGCAGATAAACGTCTCAACGATTTTTTTTTCTCTCTTTCTGTATTATTTCACGCGGCTTTATGGGGGAACGCGGCGCCGCATTAGCGGCAGTTCAGTGTGAACGGGTCTGGTGGCGCCCGAAAGGCGATCCGTGCACCCCTAATTGCCGCCTGCTCCCAATTGGGTCGGACGCCGTGCGGCACGCAGTCGTTGCGAGAGGACGTGCGGTCTTTTTATTTCGGGTGTGTATCATCGGCGAGGCCGTTTTCATCCGACGCGGAATGCGGTCGCGCCGACGTCATTTCGCAACGGTTACTCTGTGCTTCTTATAAACAAGGCACGCGGGCGAGCTTTTGACTGGTCCCTGTAATTTTATTTATTTGTTTATTTTGGGGAGAAAAGGGGGTGGGGGGCTTGGAGCTCGCTAAGCTGAGTTAAAGTTTTAAAGAGCCAAAATTCTGTGTTATACGAATGGCTAACAGCTGGCAAAATGAATCAAGCGCAATATTAAGTCACGTGACAGTGTGAAATGTGTGTTTCTAATCTGTGCTGACAAGATTACCACCAACCTGCTTCGAGAAAAAGAAATGCTGTTATTATTAACCTTTAGAATGGGACCTTGCATTCGTGGGTAACAGCTCCAACTGCTCTCAGAATTTGCTAAAACAACATCGGGTTTAAAGGAGCTCTGTAACAATTTCACTGCTCTGCTTAAATAATTTGAGAGTTGGTGTCGCGACCTTTCTGAAGTAAAGAACAAAAACCGCTTTTGCCTGCATGTTCTAGTTTTTATTTTAAAAATTGACAAAGATTGAGGTTTTCGCACCTCTCAACTCCTTCACCATCTTTCGAGTCACGTGCGCTGTGATGTAAATGGGGGACGCGCGGGGTTCCGTTGAAGCTCTCTCTAGAGCCATCAGTGAGCAGTGAGAACTCAACCGCTTGTGACCACGTGACCCCGTCGCCCTCCGCCTTCTGGCGGCTGTTCGCGGTAGCAGATAGAGCTGTCGGTTTTGTTGACCTCTGATAGATGGCGCCACCAAAAACTCCGGAAAATCAAAGGTTTGTCGATGATACCAGGTCTTTGACGCATTTATATTTATGTTGGAACGACAAGATTTATAGAAAAATTACTTTTTATCGAGCAAGTATTTGCACAACTTCCTATCTTTTTACAAGTACCCCATTGACGTCATGCCGCTTGGTTCTCATGGCCGCCACTCGCGGCTGCAGGTCGGGAAATATTCTAACTAGGTCGGGAAATATTCTAACTTTTGTCTCGCGATTACGCGGCGGAATCGGAACATTTCGCAGGAAGGAGATGTGTTTTCTGTCTTTCGACAAGATAAACAATGTCAAAAGTAGAAGATGCAAATTCTTTCAACGTTAAAATCGTTGCACAGCTCCTTTAAGCTTAGAGATAATCTTACCTTTCTATATTTTAAGTTGTATCGCATTCTTATTTTGAGTACGAATAACTTTTTTTATTTTCTTAATATCTCGTATTACTTTCTTCTATGTTCTTGGGAACGGAAAGGCCATATTGTATTTTATTTGTAAACGTTATTAGGTAAGCTTTATGAGGTTGAAGGTGTGGTAGGAAGGAATGTCGACAAGTAGAAAATTCCCCCACCTCTGAATTCCGTAGGTACCTGGCCCGTAATTAAAGTATATTACACTATCCGAATTCAGGGATTGTACTCAATACACAAAGCGAAATGTAATGATAAAAAAAAAAAAACTGGCATAAGCAATCTAGGACAGCGAAAAAAAAGGGGGAATTTCATCGACTGCGTCTACGGAACATTACGGAAGAAGTAAAAAAAAACGGTTTCCAATATCCGTAGAAGCGGGTGTGAGTCATGCCCACGAGAGATTCGATACGCGAGGTCACGAGACGTTCTCCAAGAAACAACCTCGCCTTCAACGATCCCCGAAGAAATCCCCACGGCCCCACAAGTGTCTACAATATCCGAAATTCTGAAAGTGGGGGGCGCCCCTACCCGTCATCTGTCACAGTTGTCAGAGCGCCACGAACAATGGACAATAAGGCGGCTTTCTATGGCGCTTACGTTACACCCTTTTCGCAATAAACACAGAGCGTCTTAAAGTCACACCGCTCGTACATCCCACAAAAGAGACTGTCGATGACAGAACTGTCCGCGGACAAGGCGCCTCAAGCACATTCGAAGAACGTTCGCTTCGTGCATTTGTATGCTTGGATCATGTCTGCCGACAATGTTTTCGTATGACCAGTGTGACGTTCGTACAAGGAAGAAGCACGCCTCAGACGAACTCTGGAGTTGGAAAGCGCGCCAAATCAAGTGGATGATGCAATAGACTTTCGTAGCAAACGGCGATGTACGCTATATCCGATGTTCGTTATAACCGAGTTCGCAATAGGCGGACCAGACGTGCCGGCGCGAAGCGACTCAGCGGGCGAGGGGGGCCACGCCACGCGGATGCCGGAAGTGGCAAGAGGGACACGACACACCAATGCCTAAGCCAGGAATTAAAGAAAAAAAAAAGAGAGAGATACGTTAGTTGCAAGCCGAGAGTAGACGTCCTTGGACATCTCGGGGGGTGTGGCGCATGACGCGGGAATCGGCGCCGTACTACAACCGGATATGAGTAACCGTCGAAATATGCCGAGCGCGCCGCCAGAATCAACGGGAAATGCTGTCAGCGACTACGCCAACGTCGGT